AGTGGAAAGGGAAAGATGAGAAGCCAAAAGCAAATGGTTCAGAAACTGAATGCTATCGTTGCGGTGGAAAAGGGCATTGGGCAAATATTTGTCGTGTACCAAGACATTTGGTTGAGCTTTATCAAGCATCTCTAAAGAATAAAGGCCCTGAAGCCAATTTTGTCTCTGACAATGATTTTGACATCACCCACTTGGATGTGGCAGATTTCTTTGAGCGCCCTGATGGAAAAATAGACCACTTGATCGGTGATGGATCCGTGGTTAAAGATGATTGAGTAGTTCAATTTTTATTTGTGCCTATTCGTAGTAGTTAATGAATAAAAATCATGTAATCATAGTTCTTTACATGAGTAGTAGTCATCAATATCAATTAGTATTATTTATTTTATAAAATAGTATTAGTACGTTTTGATTAAATATGATTCTTATATTCGTTTTAAACAATGAACTTGATGTCTAACCAATCACGTGAACTGCAACACCGAATTTAATGTTATTACGTATATTTTTTTTGCTACAATCATTACAATTTCAAAATAGTTATTTAATTGTAAAAGCTAGCAATTGCGCATGAAATGTACATTAGCATTACTAATGACAAATAACATAATCATGGCGTACAGTATCATAGAATCATTTAATAAATAGTTTGTTACTACTACACAAGTCTGATATAGTAGTATACTGGTTAATTTTTACGATATTTGTGTTCAAAAGGTGTTGATTTTGCTTTTCTTTTCAGTTTTTCAAAAAGCTTTTTAGCTAAACACTATTAGAGCAGTAGTAACACTTCTTTTCGTTGAATTTATGGCCCATGCGTCACACTTTGTTTATTTTTGTATTCATTATTTCAACTTTTCTCTTCCCGTGTAGCAACTGTTTGGAATATCAATATCTCTAATAATAAAATAATTTTTTTTGTATATCAACCCATGGGAAGCAAATGTGGATATTCCACAAAGCAAACTTGGATCAAAATTCAATTGTAAAAGTATTTGTTTAGTTGATTCATGTACAACACATACAATATTCAAAGAGAAGAAATATTTCTCTCATTTAAGTATGTGTAAGGCAGATGTTACTACAATTTCTGGTAGTAGTAAATTAACTGAAGGCTCTGGAAGAGCTACTATAACTCTGCCTAAGGGAACAATACTTATCATAGAGAATGCAATGTTCTCCTCCAAGTCCAAGAGGAACTTGTTGAGTTTTAAAGATATCCGCAGAAATGGATATCATATTGAGACAATAGATGAGAATAATCTTGAATATCTCATCATTACCAAAAATGTCTCTGGCCAGAAAAGGGCTATTGAGAAGTTCCCATCTTTGTCTTGTGGCCTGTATTGGACAAGAATTAGTGCAATTGAGGCACATTCTATTGTAAACCAAAAGGTTACCGATTCCAATACTTTTGTACTTTGGCATGATCGATTGGGACACCCTGGATCAATTATGATGAGACGAATTATAGAAAACTCAAATGGGCATCCATTAAAGTATTTAAGGATTCTTTTAAATAATGAATTTTCTTGCACTTCTTATTATCAAGGCAAGTTAATTATTAGACCATCACCAACAAAGGTTGGAATTGAGTCCCCTGCGTTTTTGGAACGTATACAAGGGGACATTTGTGGACCTATTCACCCACCTAGTGGGTCGTTTAGATATTTCATGGTCTTAATAGATGCATCTTCTAGATGGTCTCATGTGTGCCTATTGTCATCACGCAACCTCGCGTTTGCAAAATTAATGGCACAAATAATTCGATTACGGGCACAATTCCCCGATAATCCAATTAAGTCTATTAGACTTGATAATGCTGATGAGTTTTCATCCCAAGCACTTAATGATTATTGCTTATCAATTGGGATAAAAGTGTAACATCCTGTAGCTCATGTTCACACTCAAAATGGTCTTGCAGAGTCTTTAATTAAACGTCTGCAATTGATAGCAAGACCGTTACTCATGAAAACGAGGTTACCCACTTCTGTTTGGGGTCATGCCATTTTGCATGCAGCAATGCTAGTTCGTCACAGACCGACAAATTATCATAAATATTCCCCGTTGTAATTAGTTTTGGGCCATGAACCTAATATATCCCATTTAAGAATTTTTGGATGTGCGGTATATGTGCTTGTAGCACCACCATATCGCACCAAAATGGGTCCGCAAAGAAGGTTAGGAATATATGTTGGTTTTGAATCGCCCTCCATTATTCGCTACCTCAAAACATTGACGGGGGATTTGTTTACTGCACAATTTGCAGACTGTCGATTCGATGAGACACTCTTCCCAAAGTTAGGGGGAGAAGTTGGTGAAACCAAACGAGAAATTTTGTGGAAAAATCCATCATTATCTCATCTTGATCCACGTGCCTCTAGATGTGAAAAAGAGGTGCAAAAGATTATTCATTTGCAGAAAATAGCAAATCAAATGCCAGATGCATTTACGGATATGAAAAGGATAACAAAATCACATATCCCTGCGGAGAATGTTCCAATCCGTATTGATGTCCCTGTTGGACAATCTTCTAGTGTCATAGCTAATGAGTCAAAAGCACGCCTGAAACGTGGCAGACCATTAGGTTCCAAAGATCGAAATCCTACAAAAAGGAAACTAAATGATCAAAATGACACTACGAAAGAATCTCATGAAGAAATCCACAATTTAATAAATTCTGAGATTCATGTGGAATCCACTGAGCCCGAGACTCAAGAAAATAAGGAACTATCAATAAATCCAATCGATATTGAGACAAATTTGAATCGAGTGGATATAGTGGTGGATTATGTCTTTGCATATAATGTTGCATCTAGCATTATGCAAGAAATTGAGGATCTTGAACCTCAGTCTGTTGGAGAATGTCGACAAAGACGTGATTGGCCAAAATGGCAAGAAGCAATCCAATCAGAGTTGAATTCACTTGCGAAACGTGAAGTTTTTGGGCCTATAGTCCAAACACCTAATGGTGTTAAGCCTGTTGGCTATAAATGGGTCTTTGTACGCAAGAGAAATGAGAAAAACGAGGTACAAAGATATAAGGCACGCCTTGTTGCACAAGGATTTTCACAAAGGCCTGGTGTCGATTATGAAGAGACATATTCACCCGTTATGGATGCTATAACGTTTCGTTATCTCATAAGCTTTGCTGTCCATGAAAAGCTTGACATGCATTTAATGGATGTGGTTACCGCCTACCTTTATGGCTCACTTGATAATGAGATATACATGAAAATTCCCGATGGATTTAAAATGCCAAACGCACATAATTCAAAGTCCCGGGAAATGTTTTCAATCAAATTGCAAAGATCTTTGTATGGTCTAAAGCAATCAGGACGAATGTGGTATAATCGTCTTAGTGAGTATTTATTAAAGGAAGGCTATATAAATGATGCCATTTGCCCATATGTTTTTATAAAGAAAACAACATCGGAATTTGTTGTACTTGCCGTATATGTTGATGACATAAACCTTATTGGAACTCCTATAGAACTCCAAAAGGCAATTGATTATTTAAAGAAGGAATTCGAGATGAAAGATCTCGGAAAGACAAAATTATGTCTTGGTTTGCAAATTGAACATTTGGCAAGCGGAATTTTTGTTCATCAATCTACCTACATAGAAAAGGTACTGAAACGGTTTTACATGGATGGAGCACATCCATTAAGTACTCCGGTGGTTGTTCGATCACTTGATGTGAATAAGGATCCATTCCGACCTCAAGAAGAGAATGAAGAGCTACTTGGTCCTGAAGTACCATATCTTAGTGCAATTGGTGCACTAATGTATCTTGCCAATACTACAAGGCCTGACATAACTTTTTCAGTTAATGTCTTAGCAAGATATAGCTCTGCTCCCACAAGGAGACATTGGAATGGGATCAAACACATATTGCAGTATCTAAAAGGGACTACCGATATGGGCTTATTTTATGGCAACAATTGCAGTCCCGATCTTGTTGGTTATGCTGATGCTGGGTATTTATCTGACCCACACAAGACTCGGTCTCAAACAGGTTATGTGTTTACCTGTGGAGGCACTGCCATATCTTGGCGATCGACTAAGCAATCAATTGTGGCTACTTCATCTAATCATGCTGAGATAATTGCTATTCATGAAGCAAGTCGAGAATGTGTGTGGTTGAGGTCTATAATACATCTTATTCGAGACAAATGTGGTGTGAAATGTGACAAGTTACCCACAATTTTGTATGAAGATAATGCAGCATGCATAGCTCAATTGAAAGGAGGATTCATAAAAGGAGATAGGACAAAGCACATTTCACCAAAGTTATTTTTCACACATGATCTTCAAAAGAATGGTGATATTAATGTGCAACAGATTCGTTCAAGTGATAATATGGCTGATTTGTTCACAAAATCTCTACCAACGTCAACCTTCAAGAAGCTAGTTTACAAGAACGGGATGCGAAGGCTCAAGGATGTGAATTGACGCTCTCATCGGGGGGAGTTAATGCGCGTTGCACTCTTTTTCCATTATAAGGTTTTGTCCCACTGGGGTTTCCTTGCAAGGTTTTTAACGAGGCAACCAATAGGCGCATTTCTAAACATGTGTACTCTTTTTCCTTTTCTAGAATTTTTTCCCATTGGGTTTTCTTTTAGTTAAGGTTTTAACGAGGCACATTATCTGTTGAATAGACATTCAAGGGGGAGTGTTATAAATAGAATTCTATTTATGGTGAATGTCCATATTTAGAGAGATTCTAGGGTTTATTACTTGGTGGCTAAGTCAACCTCTCCCTATAAATAGAGAGTTCTATTCCATTGTAATTCATCCCAAATCAATAAGAATTCTCTCCCTCTACTTTTCTCTGCAATTCTGTTCTTCTTCATTTATTGTTTTATAACAAAGTAAATGTTTTTCAAGTGGACGTTATGGTAACGTACTTTTAACCATAAATTATACTAATTAAAGAACGCCACGTGTCCTCCAAAAAAGGATCAAAGTACCGAACACCCGTGGTGCTAACGTACCTGTGGAGTGTGGACTGACTCTCCTTTCAATTTTACACAATTTAAAGGTGCTTCTTCTTCTTGAGCCTTGACTTTATACTACTACACCAAAAGAACTACCAAACTGAGCTCCAAATTAGTTAATCCTATAGCTATGGCGTCTTCACTATTCATTTCAACTCCAATTCCAACTAAACCCATATCTAAACAAATACCCTTTTCTTTTCCCTCTTCAAATCCTATAATCCGTTCGTTTACCCACAAACCCTCGAGGAATTTGGTGGTTTCTTCTTCTGCAGCTACAACAAATGCAATTGAAGCTGATACACGAACATCTAACTCTGCTGCTACTCCAGCAAAGTCACTTCCTTTTAGAGTTGGTCATGGATTTGACCTTCATCGATTGGAACCAGGGTATCCTTTGATTATTGGTGGGATTAATATTCCTCATGATAAAGGCTGTGAAGCTCACTCGGATGGTACTTTTCACTTAACTGATAGTACTCCTTTTATTCCAATTTCTTTGGCCCAATTACTAATTGGAGTTAATTTTCCCAAAATAAATTTGGGATTTATTTTCAAAACTCATGTTTTGCCATAAATTTTGCTCATATTTTGGCCAAATTCCAAGTCCCAAATTTCAAATCCCAAAATCAGCTATTGAGCTGATTTTGGGCCAAAATCCCAAAACTTGGGAATTATATACATGTTTTTCCAAAATAAAGTTGGAAAATATGTTTTGAAAATGTATGTCCAAACACATTTTCATCTTCAAACCAAATCACCTAAATCAGATTTTTCAAAATAAATTTGGGATCTATGGCCAAACGCTAGTTTAAAAAGAAAAATGAACTACAGGAAATGGTAGTAGTACTGACTTTTTAAGTTTGGTACTATTTCTATTTTTTAAAAATGCTAAAAACATTTTTAATTATAAAAGTTGTGATTTGTAGTACTACTTACTGTGCAGTTTCCAAAAAATGAGAATTTTATCTCGTGAAGACTAAGGAATCGTGTTGTTATTTGACATGGTTGTTATTTACGTTAAACAGCTTTTTATTTGACTACGATTTGTTATAAAAAAATTTAAATATTTTTAGTTATACTAAGTCGGATTTATATATTTTTTACTTACTTTTTGAATAAATTTTGTTTCGAGAAGATTAGAAAATCATTGATGTCCAAGTTGTTTGGCACTCTTAATGTTTGTGTCAAAGAGGTTTTCTCTTTACTACAATTTTTAAAATATTATAATTGAACAAAATATGATTTATAGCATGTAGTTGTTAAAAATGTGAAGGGGAACCTTGAAGCAACGGTAAAGTTGTATCCGTGTGACCTATAGGTCACGGGTTCAAGCCACGGAAGCAGCCACTAATGCTTGCATTAGGGTAGGCTCTCTACATCACACTCGTTGCGTGCGGCCCTTTCCCGAACCCTACGTGAACGCATGATGCTTTGTGCACATGCTGTCGTTTAGTTGTTAAAAATGTGGATTTTGTTTGAAGAAGATTAAGAAAGGTTGAAGTTAACTTTAAATGTTAGATGTGTTGACCCTCGAACTCCTTCATTCTTCTTGGGATGGAGGGAGAGCGACGGCCCTTCCACTCGGCACCATCGGTTGGTGTAAGAGTTTAATTTTGTTTTTGAATTCTTTTTGTTAGGTGATGTTTTGCTTCATTGTGTTGTTGATGCAATTTTGGGAGCTTTGGGGCTTCCTGATATTGGGCAGATTTTCCCGGACACTGATCCTAAATGGAAGGGTGCGCCTTCTTCGGTATTCATGGAAGAAGCTGTAAGTTGATACTCTTCCTTATTTTATTTTATTTTGATTGAGCTCATTAACTTTCAGCCTCTCCAGTGTAAAACCATGGTTACTTGTCCTTACTGTTCAGTTCAGAACCTGGTTTTTAGATAAATGAAGAGCACCATCTCTGTGTGAGTTTATGTATAACTACTGAGATGAATGTATTAGCGAGTTCAGTTATTATAATTAGTTTGATGGAGTTCATATTGATCCCTGCATCATAGCAGTTCCCTCACTAATTACATTCATGCCTCAAGTGTCATACATTGGCACTTGGTTGACAATATTACATGTGTTCAAACTTGGTTTGCGGGTTTAGTGAGGGTGAGGGACAAAGAATCAAATAAAATTAGATGAATATGCTTTTCTTGTATGAAATAAGTAGATTAAGGAACTAGATCATAGTATTGGTTTGGTATATCTGCACTGTGAACATCTATGCTTGAACCGGCTTTACCTAACTTTCACCAGTTATCACCTTTGCCAACAGTACTAGGTTGGACTGACAGTGACGCGGTATTAACGCTCATTTTCATTTCTTTTCTAGTTTTGGGACTTGAAAAAAATCGTTTTCTAATCTTTGCATCTAGGTGAGTTAAATGTGAGCTAAATTAAGCAGTTTTATAAGCAGGAAAAAAATATTAGACCTACAGGAGAAGAAATATGGATAGAGAGGAATCAGGGATAGGAGTATCGACCACAATGGAAAATACACTATCAAATTGGTATTTTTAGTCATGAGAGTCATAATCTTCTTCATGGATACTCCTTGTTCTGTTCTCTATTATGATTGGCTATTGGTGAATCCAATGACATGTCTGTAAGGTGGATAAAGTTTCCTCCGTTTGTCAGCATATGCAGAAAACTTAGCTGCTGGAGAGTATATAAGCCAGTAACAACTTTCTTCTCCTTGTCCTTTATGCTCGTAATCCATACATGCAGGAACAGACCACCAACGTTTTTATATTTGGATCATGGCTTTCTTGGAAGCAAGGTGTATATGTTTAGCCTTAGCTAACAATCATTCATGTAAATATAGATTAAAATTGTAAAAGATGAGCTCAAGTTATAGTCAATTGATATTCAATAGAAGCACCATCCTCCAATAAGATGTCATAAATATATTCTTGCATCTCTTATGGTTTCTGATGTACCTGCAATTGGCGGTTGGTTGGGAAACCTGTGGTTGCGGGTTGACCGAGAGTTAATGTGATAGAGCACCTTGTTCTTGCTGTCCGCCTGCAAGCGACCTTGTTCATATGGGGCTGAAAAAGTGACTCTTCCTAATTGTGATTGTATTTATCGACTAATTCACTCACACTCATGCTACAGAGTGAAGAACAAAGCTGTACTAGCTCTGCCTTTTATTCTTTACTTTATATTGGGGAGAGGTGATTAGGCAGGACATGGTGCGGCTGCAGATTCTCGAGGACATGGCGCTTGATAGGAAGTTGTGGAGGTTGAGCATTAAGGTTGTAGGTTAGGAGATAGGAGGCTAGTCTGATATTGTTTTGTTTTAGGCTGCTAGTGGCTCCAGTTGTGTCCTTAGTACTTCATTAGGGTTGTAAGTTAGGTTGTAGGAAGCTAGTCTGGAAGTGTTTTGTCTTAGGATGTTAGTGGCTCTTGCTGCGTCCATATTATTCCATCGCGTCTGTAGTACTGTGCCATTATTACTACTTAGTGTTATTACTTTTCTCTCCATTTTCTGGTTATTACGTTGCTGGTGTTATCTTTTTGGATTCCTTCGCCGTTACTGCTACACTGTCACGTTTTCATCTTATTGTGCCGAGGGCCTATCGGAAACAGCCTCTCTACTCCTCCGGAGTAGGGGTAAGGTCTGCGTACACACTACCCTCCCCAGACCCCACTTATGGGATTTCACTGGGCCGTTGTTGTTGTGGTTGTTGTTGTTGTTCTATATGTTCTTCTTCAAGGAGAGCTATGTGCATTCCTTTGATCTTGTTCATCTAGTTGAAGTTTAGTTCATCAATTCAACTATTGTTGGATTTCTAGAAGGCAGTGAGAAGATTAGTTTCATCAATAAGAGGCTTCATCAAGAGCTGAAAGCCATTTTGACCACACTTCAGAAAGGCCAAAGGTGGTACTCACCCTCCTTACCAACAATTGGGTATTTCGCTGGAGCACACCATAGTGGCTCATGATAGCATTAAAAAAGGAGTGAATAGTCAAGTCATGCATTTTTCTCAATCGGTTCACATTATGTTGATGAACATTTCTGCAATTCAGGAAAGATGTTTTCTTGTAAATTAAAAAATGCTTAGTAGCTTAAGTGACTTTCTTGTTTTTTCCTTTTTCAAGGTTAAATAAGAAATAATTAGATATGATATAGACACTTGCACCCGCTTAGGGGACAGAGCGCTCATTATCCTCATTTTAATTGCTGATGGACCCACCCGTTCCTATAGCGACAAGCTTTGTCTACATGGACTCGCCACACAAGGCCAGAATGGAGTCAATAATTAGCCTCCATCCTTATTATGTCAGTGTTGACTGATTGCAACGTGCTAAAAAATGCCCCGTGCTCGTACCACGAAGAAAGGCCAAGTAGAAGGAGCAATCAACTAGCTTGTTCTCCGCCATGTGCTTTTTCAAGTAGAAGGAGCAATCAACTAGCTTGTTCACCGCCATGTGCTTTTCGTTCTTTAGTTTATCGAAGAGAGACATCAAATGATAGTGGAAAGCAACAGTAGAAGCATGGCTTAGCTGAGAAAATGCTAGTCTGGGCAGCGGCATAGCTTGAAGGTCTAGGTTAAGACTCATCTCCAGATGCCTGGATATATAGGTAATAGACATCCCTGAACCTCCTATGATAGTGTAAAGGGCTGGAGAAACTCCAATTCAGTAAAAATGTTTCAGATACTTGCCTAAACTGGTACGACCTGCAAGCCTTATCCAACGCGCTTTAAGCTCTTTAAGCCTTAGTCTCTCTGATTAGGACTGTCCCATGGCTTGACTCTGTGAGTTGTGACTGGTTTCTTCAAGTAAAGGTTGATGGTTTGACATTCTCTATAATTGTTATGTCTAGAGACAGAGAAACTTTTTGTCCTTTGGTTTCTCCCCTGTATGTCTTCCACTCCTCTCCTTTCTTCAGTCCGCTTATCTCTCATTCACCTCTATCTGCCTCAGAACTATTTAACTTCCTTTGTTTGTCAATTGTTGTCTGCAACATTAACAGAACTAAGTGTCATATATCCTCTTATTTCCTTCTCCTTCTTCTCTGTGCCTGTCCTTCCTTTTCTGTTCTTTTCTCCGTCCTTTTTATTTGGGTGAAATACACAATGTCTTTAGTTGCTTATTGCTGATCATTTTTTGTTCTCTTTACTTATTAAGAATCGCTGATATTGGAAACAAAAAGGATCTGCTGATGATTTATGTGTAAAAATTTTACTTGTTAGGATTGGCTACTATCATGCGCTGTAATGTCTTGCTACTTTAAATGGTAATAGCAATTTTGCATTTCTATTCTGAAGTGTGTGTAGCTTTTACCTTAGCCAGGCTACTGTCAATTAGCCGAAGGTGCACCTATATTTATAAATTTTACTATAATTTTCGTTTCATGTTCCATGTGCATCTACATTTCAGCAAGCTCATGCCTTGTCCAGTATCTATCACACAAAAGTTAATCTGCTTCTTCCGTGCATTCCAACTATTATGTTCTTTTTCCTAAACTTTATATGCTGGTCTATTTTAGTCTTTCTCTCCAGCTTCAACCAATTGATCAACCAGTACGCCTTAATCCCATATTGGTTAGGGTCGCTACTCTTTATCCAGTTGCTTCTATTCAGGTCCAATTCGTTCTGCTCCAAAATAAATTGTCTTTCAAGGCGGATTAAGGGTACTCTAGAATTAGAGTTCTTTAAACCTCACCCTTATCTCTGCACGAACATACAAGTCTAATCCTAATAGAAAGACACCTGACAGACACCAAACCTAATGTAAGTGTAGTCATAACAACTAAGATGTAAGCTCAATAGTTGATATTGTTTATACCGTTCCTTTGTTTCCATTGCTTTGAGATCTTAGCTTAATTTGCATTACTTCCATGAAATTGTAGGTCTTTTAGACCATTTATACCTATATGATTTTAAATCTACCTCACTCCATTTTATCACCTTCAATCCTCATTTTGTTGCACCTATGGCCAGTGCATATGAAGGTCTAAACAAGACATTACTAAATCATCTCAAATTACCTTCTTTCGTCCTCACTATGCTACTTGTACCCTCTGTTGAGTGTCGTGCTTTATAATCGTGTCCTATTTTTTATGAGTATGCGTCCATTTTAAAATTTGAATTTCTACGATATTCATCTTGTGGAAGTTGACGGGTATAAGAGGTCAGTATTTTCTCTTATATAAACCTTACTGGTCTCGCAAATGTTCTATCGAACTTGCCTTTCACTTTGTTATGTATCTTCATGTTGCGTGGCATTCTCATGGTACTCCTCTATTTAATCCATCCTATCTTATTTTATGTGTTACATTTTCATCTATCATACCTATCTCTCGGAAGACTGAGCTTAAATATCTGCATCTTTACATTTAGATCTTCACTGTCCGTACTGCTATCTCCCTAGACCTGCGCTAATCATATAATCTGAACATCTACTCAAGAATGGAATTTCCAAAGCAGCAACCTACTTGCTGGTTGAGTTGATTTCTTTTAGCTTCCGACTCTTTGAGAACTGGGAAAAGAATTAGCTAATGATTCTTGTATTGAGGCCTTTTCCTTTTTTTCCTTATTTTGTCCGTTGATTTCTGTAATTCATTTCTTTTCCTGTGTAGTTGGCTGTGTTGAATAATTGATGGGTATATTGTCTCTTCAACCTCCCCTAAAACTCTTACTCTCCAAAGTGTATCCATTCTAGTAATTTTTGGTAGTTCACTCGCTGATTTTGTTGATTAACACAACATCATACGGAAACATATGCACCATGGAACCTTCTATTAAAGAAACAAGAACTACTCGGAGCACGGCTTTGCTGCTCTGTGTCAAGAGCCCGAGAATCAGACCTCACAAATCGCTACTCTTTATCCAGTTGCTTTTATTCAGGTCCAATTCGTTCTGCTCCAAAATAAATTGTCTTTCAAGGCGGATTAAGGATACTCTAGAATTAGAGTTCTTTAAACCTCACCCTTATCTCTGCACGAACATACAAGTCTAATCATAATAGAAAGACACCTGACGGACACCAAACATAATGTAAGTGTAGCAATAACAACTAAGATGTAAGCTCAATAGTTGATATTGTTTATACCGTTCCTTTGTTTCCATTGTTTTGAGATCTTAGTTTAATTTGCATTACTTCCATGAAATTGTAGGTCTTTTAGACCATTTATACCTATATGATTTTAAATCTACCTCACTCCATTTTATCACCTTCAATCCTCATTTTGTTGCACCTACGGCCAGTGCATATGAAGGTCTAAACAAGACATTACTAAATCATCTCAAATTACCTTCTTTCGTCCTCACTATGCTACTTGTACCCTCTGTTGAGTGTCGTGCTTTATAATCGTGTCCTATTTTTTATGAGTATGCGTCCATTTTAAAATTTGAATTTCTACGATATTCATCTTGTGGAAGTTGTCGGGTATAAGAGGTCAGTATTTTCTCTTATATAAACCTTACTGGTCTCGCAAATGTTCTATCGAACTTGCCTTTCACTTTGTTATGTATCTTCATGTTGCGTGGCATTCTCATGGTACTCCTCTATTTAATCCATCCTATCTTATTTTATGTGTTACATTTTCATCTATCATACCTATCTCTCGGAAGACTGAGCTTAAATATCTGCATCTTTACATTTAGATCTTCACTGTCCGTACTGCTATCTACCTTGACCTGCGCTAATCATATAATCTGAACATCTACTCAAGAATGGAATTTCCAAAGCAGCAACCTACTTGTTGGTTGAGTTGATTTCTTTTAGCTTCCGACTCTTTGAGAACTGGGAAAAGAATTAGCTGAAGATTCTTGTATTGAGGCCTTTTCCTTTTTTTCCTTATTTTGTCCGTTGATTTCTGTAATTCATTTCTTTTCCTGTGTAGTTGGCTGTGTTGAATAATTGATGGGTATACTATATTGTCTCTTCAACCTCCCCTAAAACTCTTACTCTCCAAAGTGTTTATCCATTCTAGTAATTTTTGGTAGTTCACTCGCTGATTTTGTTGATTAACAGAATATCATACGGAAACATATGCACCATGGAACCTCCTATTAAAGAAAAAAGAACTACTCGGAGCACGGCTTTGCTGCTTTGTGTCAAGAGCCCGAGAATCAGATCTCACAAATCTCCACACATACTGTTAAATAATCAACGTGGCGGAATCACTTCGATTTCCCTAAAGACCAATATAAACCCGACAAACTGTTCTTCATTATTTTCAGTTCCTATATAAAACATCCCACTTCCCGTTGATAGTTTCCAGTCCCACTTGCCGAGTTGCCGTAACACCACGGTGCTAAATAGTATGCTTCTTCTAAGTTTATAGCGCTTGCTGAAAACAGAGCTTCTCTTATCAAAATCTCGAGAATAAATCACAAGTCTACTTGAACTTTCCCCTTTTCTGTTTATCAGGATTTTGAACTTACTAAACGTGTTTATTTGGTTGAAGAGTGTAGAGATGGAGGGTGGTTTCTGTGCTCTTTCCTGATAGATTGTGAAAATTGGACTTAATCAACCATATACACTTCAATAGTGAAAAGCTGAAACATGAATGTTGCTTTCTGGGTTACATCATATACAACTTACCTGCATACAGATCACACCTATAGATAATGATGTATGGTGAAACAACTCATTCACAAGTTCTGAAAAAGCCAACAACTCAGGGAAATATTATACAGTATCTCCCTAGGTGGGGGTTCATGGTTGGCCCTCTCACTGTGTGTGTCGTACCTGCCTCCTAACCAACCACTGTCTTATTTGCTTGAAAGCATGACATAACAGAATATAATCTTGGATACTAGCGTAATGTGAAGCGGAGTTTTATTTTAGGCACTGTCACAGCCTGGAGAGCTGTTAATGCTATTGATTTACTTTGATGTGCCTTTTGTTGGCAAGTTTTCTGGTTTCGGTAATGATAAAGTAACAAGTTTCTGGTTCCTATTGAGTGAAAAATGAGGAAATTCTAAGTAGTAAAATGAATTGAGTTAGTAATGCGATGTTACAGAAAATAGTTGTACAATTAGTTTCTTATTCTCCATAAGCTAGGTTCCAGAAATGGCATATGTCCAAATGAGGTCTCCCCATTCAAATCACTGATTTTATGCAAGCCCCACAGAAATGCTAGATTTATAGCGGTCTGGTCTGTCATCCACATACTTTGAGAGGTGAAGTGGATTTTCTGCACCTAATTAGTAAGATAGTAATACTAACACTTCCAATGTTAGGGGAATCTTTACTTCTTTAGCTCATTTGGTAGTACATGACAGTGATAGATATTAGTTGGGATTGCTGAACTGATCAAGATAGTTTTTCCTTGATGATATGCATCAGACAACTACCAACTTGCTGCTGGCTTATTGCCTATTTTCTCTTGGACCTCTGAGTAGAAAATTGTACCGACTCTGGGACAATTACACCTAAACTACTAAAGTAGAACAAAAGTGAGAATTATTTTATATGTTGATAATTCAAGATTTAGTTCAAGCCAACAATTAAAGATTTTTAACTTGGAAAGGATAGAGAACTTTGATCTCGATGTGGAAATCTGTTCGGTGTAAGGAACATGATACATTAACAGAGATTAAGATGAAATTTCTCCTCCTTACTCGAGTATGCATGATTGTATAGTGGTCGGTTTTAAGCCTATTTTCCTTTCATACACGATTTCATTTTTCATCACCAGTAATGATACTACTAATGTGCACTTATAGATGATCTAATTTGTCCCTGCTTTTTGGTCAATTTTCAGGTGCGTTTAATGCATGAAGCAGGTTATGAATTGGGAAACCTCGACGCCACTTTGATTCTACAAAGACCAAAAGTAAGTCCGCACAAGGAAGCGATTAGAGCCAACTTGTGTAAGCTGCTTGGTGCTGATCCATCAGTTGTAAACTTGAAAGCAAAAACTCATGAGAAAGTTGACAGTCTCGGAGAGAACAGGAGTATTGCTGCTCATACTGTTGTTCTTCTTATGAAAAAATAGTGAATAAAGGTGGTCAAGTTTGGTGTGTAAAACTTGTATACTCTAGCATTGGCAGCCATTCAGGAAGAACATCATATTGGTAAAAGAGTCATGGATATTTTCTATTAGTACTTCATAGTCAAAAAGAAGGGGAGCTTTGGCGTAACCGGTAAAGTTGTTGTCATGTGAACAGGAGGTCACGGGTTTAAGCCGTAGAAACAGCCTCTTGCAGAAATGCAGTGTAAAATTGCATACAATAGACCCTTGTGGTCTGGCCCTTCCCCGGACCCCGCGCATAGTGGGAGCTTAGTACACCGGGCTGCCCTTTTACTTCATAGTCAAAAAATGATATACCAGAAATTTGAATTCCCTGCCATTTCAGTAACCCTTCTTTCATCACTTAAGTCCTCCGGGTCAATTGGTTGGGAAACAAGTTATCCCATAATTAATTATTCCGAGATTAGTTATCCCACTCTCCCATAGGGATAAAAAACACTACAATATGGGAATAACTAACCGCAGGATTAATTATACTACGATTTTATCCCAATCAAACGTGAAATAAACTATCTAAAACTTTATCCCGTGATTATTTACCCATTGTCCTAGAAAGCCGTACAGTTGGTCAAAGTTTTTTTTTTTGTTTTCCCAATCCATTTTTATTTATATTTGACTTATAGCAGCTGGTCCAAGAAAACTGAAGAATACATAGTACTACAAGACTAATATTTATGATGACCAAAATATACTGTGATATTTCATCAACTTATTGGCCTTGAACTTTATCCTCTATATTAACTGAGTTAAATTCCACTTTCCACATTAGTACAACTTCTAGCATTTTCACAGTCAAATAAGTTTCTGCCTTGGTCTTTATTTTGAAGGACAAAACAGCCTTAAAATTGTTCAACAAAGTTGAAAGGCTACCATTCAATCCTAGTTTCTATATTCTTTTGTAGCATACTATGGTCTTGTTCTCTTCTTTTCCCCATTCACATCAGCCCAAGAAACAAGAACTTAGAATGATAATTAGAGAATTCAAAAATGATGCACACTCAAGATCTTGAATGGTTCTGCACTTGACCCAAATTAGTTGATAACTTGATTTCCTCAGCTTTTAATAGCAGAATGATTCTGGAATTAGAGACCCAATTCTTGAAATTAGATATTTGCATGTGCAGAATTGACTAAAGAAAAAAAAAATTGGTAATATAAAATCAGAAAAAAGAAAGACTCCAGTTTTAGTCACAGGTAGTTTAATTTCTGACTCAGATATTAATCCAGTGGACTATTGAAGTTTCAGCGCATGGTTGCCAGAGGCAAAATTCCTTTTGACTTTCAAAGAGAACTGAGAAAGTTTCAAACTATGTGAATGCATAATATTGAGGTGTTAATATTGACCAAAAATGTTTAACCAGTTGGATTAGGTGAGTGATGTCTTGATTAAGGGCTAGAACAGGTTTAATCTTAATTAATATTGGATCAACTTGGGCAACATATATTATAAGTCCAAATCAATTCATTAAAGAATTTTGTCAAAAACAACAACACACCCAGTAAAATCCCACTAGCGGATCTGGGGAGGGTAGAGTGTACCAGACCTTACCTCTACCCCGGAGCCGGAAGGGTAGAGAGGTTGTTACCGGGAGACCCTCGACTCATTAGAAGAGACAATAATATCAGAAAAGAAGCAAAAAGAATAGGTCCGTAACAACACAAGAAACCAAAAACATAATAACAGCAAATAAGTGGAAGAGCAATAACCCAATACTATGCAAAACAAAATAAATTGAAAATAAATTGTCAAAAGTAAAAATAAAAATTGAAAGAACCAAAGCAAGCCTAACAATGGTTTTAATGTAGGTTATAATTTTAATTTATTGTACAATGGCTGATTTTTAGCAACTTAATTGCATATTTAGAGAAAAAACAAACAAAAAAATTAATGAAAAAATGATTTTTAGTTGCACGATATCATTACCCAATTAAACTTCTATAAGGATATTTGAAGTTATTTATCTTATTGTATTATTATTAATCATGGATTTTTCATATACCTAGAATGTTCCTCGCAAATTGCGAAAACTAATTTAGAAGAATTAATGGATTGAAGATATAGTGTCACTTCACCATTCGTTGAAATTGAAATATGTATGAGATCGGGATCACGATATGTATTTATTAAATAAATTATTGAAATTCTAAAGTAATATTCTTACAGGATCATATATTTTTTTTCAACGATATTAATCCGCCTAAATTTGACCCGGCCCATTTATTTGACACCCTTAATTTGAAAATAGTAACCAAGCAAAAGAGCCACCCACATGGTTGACCAACTTTTCCTTTGTTCTCTTTTTTCCAAATTATTCTCATACTCAAATAGAAATTGTTTTCTTTTTCTTGTGACTAGTAATTTTATTGGTGAGAGTTGCACGCTAAAAACAATTAAGTTTGATTATTTGTTGACTATATTATTTCTGCTTATGAATCATATGCTTCTATTTCCCTTTATTTACGTATGGTTCAAATGTTGCTCTTGCTTTATTTTAAATGAGATAAAACACGTAGTAGATTAGGTCAATAATCACTTCTTTTTCGTTGTCTTTGCTTTCTTTTCTTTGTCTCACATAAAATAGAATTTTTTGACTCTATAAAATAGGATTAAATGGTATTCATAAGTTAGGCATTTAGGTCTATTAAATTCAAGTTCAAGACAAGTATTTGTGCTATTTAGGTACAAATGGGATTATCGATCAAACATTAATTTTATAATATCCTTTGAACTTTGGTATTTTTTTTTGCAAAATGCGCCTTTACAATCAGCTAGCACGTCTAAACGTAATTATAAACAAAACTATATATTCAAGAAGCACCCAGTTATATTATAATCACTACTCCATTCGGTCCAATTTAATTGTTTTTTTGAGTTTTTACACATATTAAGGAATTTACCTTTTAACATTAATTAACAATGAAATTGACCATATTAACCTTTACTATCTCTTTAATTTGTTCATTTGAAATATAACAGATATTTCGAGACTCTTTAGTGACAACTTTAAAAAATAAATTAATTTCTTTTTGATGTCTGAAAAATTAAATATTGCGAACCACAAGAAAATGCCAAAAAAATACCAAAAGATCAATTAAAGTGGACTGGAGTGAGTCTTTGATCACGCCCAACTATACCTTATAAAAAGGACAATGCGGTCGTTGCAAATATAATCCGGTTTACAAGTCCGGAGTCGAATCCCACAGAGAACTAAGGTTTAGCTACAGCTGTTCACTATCACCAAGAAGACAAGCTTGAACAATTCATAACTTATAGATATTAAGATTCTTCTGTTCAACTAATTAACTAACAAATTGAAATAGTAAATTAACAACTAACGATACTGAGGGTTAGAGAAAAGATTAAGGAGGTCTAGAGTTATGATTTCCCCAATTGTCGGAATCCTTCCCGCTATGTCTTCTATAATTTCGCCTAAGTATTCTCTACCGATCATGAGCACTCTTATTACCGTAAATCTCTCCCGAGTAATTACGACAATTTACTAGACGCGCTCTCCCGAGCTACGCTAGCTGGCTTTTAATACAGCTCACTTCAGATCGCACCCAAGGCTTCGTTATCCCTAATCCCGCCTTTAAACCTTCGGTTATTGGTCCTTCATATATTCTGGGAGTGGTGTTGTTCAACAACTACCTAAATATGCACTCTCTCCCGAGTTATGCATACTAAATAGGCACAGCTAATTGAGAGCTCTTCAATCAACCAGAATATAAACGTAGTTGAACAAATAGAGAAAAGCTATGGCTCAATTATATAAAAACATAACAAGAATTTATCCTACAAAAGGTTCTACCAAAACTCTAGATAACAAATTAGCTATTCATAATAGTATGTAAAACTACAATACTAAAAGTCATAACCAACAATGGAAAATAGGAAGAGGAAGGAAAAACTCGTAGAAGAATTCTCCGCCTTGCTCCCAATGTGTTCTTGCCTCCTTAGGTCGAATCTATGTCTCAAAATATGTCCCCTCCTTGTTCTTGGCCGGCCTCTTTTGTTTAATATAGGGTTTAGGACTTAAAATCCCATGTTTTGCACTTTAGTCCCTGAAATTTTCGCTTCCTGCCGCGGTCGCGGTGGAACCGCGGCCAAACATGCCCTCTGATTCTTCAGTTGTCCGCGAGTACACTCTGCCGCGGTCGCGGAAAAACTGCGGTTTTTCACCCTGTTCCGTTTCGAATTTGGAAAAACGTAAAACATGAAAGTTGTAGCCCTTTGAGTTAGCTTTCCAACCATAAATTGTGGAGCCCAAATGGAGTTCTGAGCAAAAAGTTATGTCTATTTTACTAGACAGTGCGCAATATGCCTCCTCAAGCCTTCATTCGTACTTAATTATCAAATTTGACCCCCGAACACGATCCCGGCTTAATTCCTTGAGCTTTTACTCAGACTTCAAAGATTCAAATCACTTAAATTCATTCCATAACATCTATATAGCTCGGAATCACACCTACAAGGCATAAAACACACAATTAGTGCAAAACACTAGCGATTAAAGCGCAAACTCAATTAAAGTGCAGTAAATTCGAGTGTAATAAGCGACTAAAATATGCAATTATAGCCTATCATCAATTACACTAACAATCATTTCTCTTCCTTGTAAAAAAGTGTAACGGTTGCAACACTAAATAATTGTAACGGCGGTACTTTGAAAGGACACCTCCCTATGTTATAGGAAACTTGCAACAATGAACAAATGCAAGAGAAAAAACACTTGGAACAAATACAATACTAAAACGAAAGAAGAAGAGAAAGAAAGGTGAGAAATTAAACGGATCATGTTATTGATTCCTAAGTCAAATTAAAATGTCATCTTCTCTAACATCTTATTCTTTCTGTCCACATGATATTTAAGCAAGGTTGAACCCTTTATTCCCAATAGAGGATATCTTAGTAGAAGTTGTTGTCGTATCTTAATCACTGTAAGATATGAATTATATATATATTATGCAAATTTTGTGATAATTCCAGTTATTTGCTTTTAGTCATGCTTAAAAAGGAGATCGGTCTATGTTGTCACAAAGATTTTCACTCCAACCTCATGTCATACTCATTGTAGATTTTAAAGAATTCTCCTTTCATTTCTTTAAAGT